GTTATGGGACACTGATATCATCCAGTTTTTAATGACTGAGGTAAATTGAAAGCTACACTTCTGAATGCTAAGGATTTCTTGTGTTTTGTTTTATTGTAGTGATTTAACTTAATGAATAATCAAGACTCGTATAGTAAGAGGTTTTGAGTGTAGCCAAGTGGTTGGTGTTCTAGAGTGTAGATTTTTGGTTCCATGGTTTCTTTATTACTAAAAAACTTACTTTAGGTCCATTACAAGAGTGTGCTCGAATTCCACTATTCATGGCATGTTTCTCTCTCTCAAGAATAATGTAACTTTTTACATGTAACCACTGCACATCTGTCTTGTATAGATAATTTAGGTGTAATATATATATTGTTAGTGTTTGTCATAGACTTGTTATTAAATCAAATATGCCTGTGGATCCTGAGTACTTTTTGATTTGGTTGTCTGTTTTTTGTTCTACTCTGTGTAGTTACAGTTTGTGATAATTTTAGGTGGACATTTATTTCTGTTGTGTAGATCAAAGGACTTGAGTGGAACCCTGAACATCCAGTGATGATTCCATACACAGGTGTGTCTGGTAGTCAATCCAGTACTCTGGAGGAAGTGTACAGTGCCACAACCAGTAAGTACAATATTGAGAAATCTTGTTGCACATGTTGTTTTGTTGAAATGTAAACCAAAAAGTATGATTTTACTGCTATATTTTTTAATAAATATAAATATAACAATTGTACCTACACACTGTCATGTGTTTTGATTTTGGTTATTCTCAGTACTGTATTGATGGGAATACATCAGACTTAAGATTCAGAATTGAAACACTCTCTGTGTTTCAAGTCGACTTGAAACACAGAGAGTGTTTCAATTCTGAATCTTAAGTCTGATGTATTCCCATCAATAAGGCTACCCATACTTACTATATGTATTTTGGCTTACAGTGTTTTATTACTTTTGATGGCTAAATGCAGCCTAGTGGTTAGCATACTGGGCTTTGGAGTGGAGATTCCATGGTTTGCATTATGTTGCCACCAGAAAAACAAAATTACACTTCAAAATTTGGGGCTGTGAATGCTTTATAAGAGTAATGGTCAAATCCCACTATTCAGACTGACAAGAGTAACCAAAGGGGTGGGGTGGTGACTAGATGCCTTTCATCTAGTCTGTAACTTCAACTTTAGTGATGGCTAGTGCAGATAACCTTTGTGTAGTTTGGAAATCGAGCAAACTAACATATGGTGCTGATTAAGATGCAAATAAAAGAAGAGATCAGTGCAAGTAAATTTTTCTTATATGCCCTGGACCCATGGGTGGGCACTTTTGGAGAGTCAAAGCCCTCTCAATATTCTAGACTTTGCCTTAGACATATATCTACATCATTCTTTTGTTTCTAAAGCTGCCTTTGCTAGATATTTGGGTTTATTTTATATTATTTTATATTATAATTATCCAATTGAATTTTTTATTTTTCTTAGAAGTGGCAGCAGTTTTGGCAGTCATTCTTGCTTTGGTTATTCTTGGTGTTGCTATTTATGTGTATCGCACTCAACAGCGTTACAAAAGAGAAAAGTACAAGAGGTACACAAATTTTGTTCACACTTCAAAACGAAGTCCTCCAGCTAAAGGTAAGGTTTGAATAAACATTAGTTAAAGTTAATATGTAAAAATTAAGAGGAAGTGAATTTTATAATTCAAAATTTGTTGGTAAAATTACTATTCTAATTACTTGAAGCTTTTACTAAAAATAAATAGAGATAATAACTCTGACTAATTTGTGATGATAAAGTCATGACAGACGTCTTGATAAAAACCTGTCTATCTACCAACAGTGTAGTTAGCTTAAAATACTTACTGGTAGCTTCTGTGTTTTAATAGTTATTTAAGATTAAGTAATAATTTAACAGTTGGTTTGACTATATATAGATACATAATGCTAAGTGCTACCATGTTTAATATTTATCTTTGTGTCCTCCATTTCATGTTATTTATATTAATAGTTTTTCATTTTGGTTATTTCCTTTGTTCATTCAAGCAGTTGCTTAGGCCTTTAAGGCCTACCGTAGCAGCCTGTCATTGAAACTAAACTGGATATGGTCAAGTGCAAAATTATTTAACTAAGCCTATCTCATTTTGTTTCATAAAAACACATTTCTTTTCCTATTATATTACAACATTATAATTCAGATGAAGTAAAGAATGATAAAGCGGTTTTAGAAAAAAATCAGGACTGTAATTGTGGTGGAAGCTGTTCACAAACATCTGGTAACGAAGGAAATCTTATCACCTTGTTCTGATTTCTACACAGATCTTTGCTGAAGTGGAAGCCAAGTTGGTTTAAGTGACTGAAATAAACAGAACAAGAGCTTTCACTACATGTTTATAGTATGGCTTCTCAAAGATGAGATACAGGCAATTACATAACACTGTGACTATCAGTGCTTACAATGATTAACTAAAAAAACAATCAATAAAACTAAGAATTTATTCCACTTATATGGAGAAATTAGTACTATTTTATTCATAACTGTTATGTCATTCTTTGTAGGAGTTATGGATCCACATTATCTCAGAACAAATTCAGAAAATAAATACAAAATTTTATTCATAGCATACTGAAACCAACCCAATAATCAAAATTTGAAAGTTTTGAATACATAAAACATTTTTATTGTATATTATAAACTTAAGAAATTTTTCTTTTAATGTGTAGAAGAACAACTGCAAGATTGTCTTGTACAATATTTTTAATTCAATAGTGCAATTTTGCTCGAGACAGGATGCACCTATCCAGGTTTGATACAGTTAAGTAAGGCATTTTTATTGTTAAAAGCACAATTTAAACAAATTATCCAGTCAATTCTAATCAGATCAGTGAGAGCCATTTTCACTCGAGTGCAAATGAAAACAATTATTTGCAAAACCGAATAAGAATCTATTTTAATATATAGTACACATGCAAAGAAAAATGAGGACTATTAAATGGATATCCAAATGTTACAAGCATTGGGTCCTCCGTACGTAAGGTGTAAGAAATAATAAATAACAGTTGGGGCCCGGCATGGCCATGTGGTTAGGGCACTTGACTTGCAATCTGAGGGTCATAGGTTCGAATCCCCATCCCACCAAACATGTTTGCCCTTTCAGCCATGGGGGCATTATAATGTGACAGTCAATCCCACTATTCTTTGGTAAAAGAGTAGCCTAAGAGTTGGCAGTGATGACTAGCTGCCTTCCCTCTAGTCTATCACTGCTAAATTAGGGACGGCTAGTGCAGATAGCCCTCGTGTAGCTTTGCGTGAAATTCAAACCACACAAACAAAAAACAGTTGGATTGTATTTCAAGTAATAGCAACTAAAGTAAGGAATACCTAGGGCAGAAGATTAATACAAGGAATCTTCACGTGTAATAAAAGTATGTATACTTTTAGCTTTAAGAAGTACAGAACAGTAATGCAAGTAATATGTATTGGTAGTGTAATAGCAAACTGTGTTTAAAGAAGATTAACCAGACAAGGTGTGACAGTCAAGGAATTACAGTATGAATATATGTATACAAGCTTGTAATTTCTTGACTGAAATCTTCATATGTACTTTAATTTTTCAAACTTGGAATATATGATAAATTTTGCCTCAATAGTTATAATTCTAACCATTAATAGAAGTCTTAAATTTCTTTCATTATTCAGGTTTTATTACAGCATTGTTTTAAGTATCATCCTTTATGGAGATTACTATTCTGATTATTTTTCATATGGGTTCATTTTATAAGAGACATTCTAATTTTTCTTGTCATTCAGTTACCCAATTCAACTGATTTGGTTTTTATTTAGTTAATCACACTTTATGTGAATAGTTTGTGTATGCAATGCAGTGACACTTAATTTCAGGTGTGAACTATGGTGCTAAGGGTAACATGTACGGTATCTGACCATAAGGCATGAAGTGCTGCCACAAGTTGCTGAAAGTGTATGCTGCATCCAATGCTGAGAAAAGATAATCTTATTTTTGAGATTGTTAAGTGATTAAAGCCGGCCAGAGGATACATCATTTTGAAAAATGGAGTCTCATTTTTTTTTACAAAAGCACTTGAGACAGAAACAGACTCTGAAACCATACCTCAAGGCTAAGATTATAAAAGAGAATCTTCTGATTTATAAAACCTATTGCACAGAAACTGGACATAATTTCTGATACCATTAACAAGATAAACAAGAACTTCCCTCCACACCTGAAAAACCAATAACTGTTTTGGTTGGCAGAGAAACTGAAATTACAGAAATACCACAATCTTGCAAGTGTATTTATGCAGCTCAAAGGGCTTTTAGGCTTAATTATGTCCATATATATAGTGGAGGGTCTGTGTTAGTTTTGTCCTTCACAGTAGCTTATTACTGTAGAAATTGTGGTTTTGGGCATTTACTATTAACTATTAACACAGCAGTATTTAAAGGTTTCTTTTAACTTGGTGTTCATTCTATATGTTTTGATGAAGAGTTCATAACATATTATTTCTGTTTATCTTATCTTTCTTGGCTTTTTTATTTATACTAAATTTTCTCTAGAGAATCTTGTATCAAAATATTACATAAGCTGTGTAATGATTGTTTTAAAGTGACTTTATAGAAATTTCAGTGTATAATACATATACCCTATAATAAATATCTTCAGTATCTTTTTGGATTAAAGTAAGATGCTACTGTCATTTGATAAACTGAGATTTATTCATTGATAAACAAAAGATTCACTTGTCTATAACTGATTTTTGTGGTATTTCAGAAAGGAGGTTATGAAAATAAAATGTATCTATAAAAGTTATTAAAATTTTGACATTTTGTTACATTCTTAATTTCAAATGAAAGATGAATTCCCTGGCTGTTGTCAGGTGTTATATCAGACTTTGTTTTTTGTGTTTGTAAATATGTATCACAATCAGAAAGATTTTTGTTGAATTATCAGGAACCTATTATCCCAAATATGGGTGCTCTAACCACTTGGCTATCAGTAGGACACTTTAGAGATGTCTTGGAAGTGCCTCTCTTTTTTTTTTTATCTGTAGTATTTTTTGTCCCAATTTTTTCATAATACTGGGAGCCATATTGGGCTTATGTCTACACTTGGCTTACTGATTGTATTAGTAATCAATGCTATGTGGCTGCTTCCTTGATATTCCTTATTTTCCAATGTGGCTCCATGTCAATGATAGTGACTTTGTTTGATGCTGGTCTGTGTTCTCCATCAGATCATGTATGTTTTGCTTTTACCAGACCTCTTTATCTTGCCCTGAATGATTACCTTCTTATGCTCTTCCAACCTAACAGACAGAGGACAGACACAACTGCATGTAATGTCATATACACAGTTCTTTGTTTGTTCCTGAGACATCGGTGGTCTGATTTTTGGGGGAGTGTTCTTTGGGGGGGGGGGTGTTGTATCATTTCTGAAATGGTCCTGATGTTGTATCATCTACAGATTCTCTGTATCTTCACTGATAGGACTCTGGTGTATGGAAGTGACACAGTTGTTACTGGATTCTCTTGGTGCTGTGCCTGTTGCTTAGTATGTGTTTCTATTCTATGAAACATTTTAGGTATCCATTTCTCTGGAATGTCTCTGTTAACTGGTCTATTTCTTGTTTTCTTATTGTGTTATCAGCATTGATGGCATCTCACAATACCTTTTTTAACTCTCTCAACACTGTCGGTCAATTTGACTGAGTCATGTGACCTTTTGTATTCGTTTAAAGCCTATAAATTTAATACTTATAACTCTATATATTGGGTATATCTTCACGAAATTTGGCAGTCTTTCAGTTAATATTACAAGTCTTTCACATACAAAAAGTCATATTTCTTAGTGAAGTATTTTTAATAAAATAAAGATTTGTCCATGAATATATTGAGTATTTTTTGTGTAGAGTGTATGAGATTGTTTTCCAGTTTCATTGGGGGTTTTTTACAACTTCTTATACTGTACAGTAAGTTATTGTATTTTAGTAATTTGGAGACAGGAAACAATTTCATTTTTATTGAATTATGTATAAAATAATCATTGTTTTTAAAAATAGTGAGTTTTTAATATATTGAGTATTTGTTTTGAA